GAGAGAGAGAGAGAGAGAGAGAGAGAGAGAGAGAGAGAGAGAGACATCGTAATTACATTGATAATCATTTAAGGACCGGTTTTTCATCATCTAGTTAACTTGTAGTTAAGCTTAATCTGATGTTTTACCCAATGGACTTCTGTGATAATATCAAGAATGAAGTTTATCAGATTAAACATCAGGTTAAGCCTAACTATAAATTAACAACAGATAATGAAAAATTGAATTTAAAGATATCCGATATCCACGATGCTAGAAATTGGGATGAATTGATGCGAGATCTCGGACAGAGAAAAAAATTAACAAATCACATTTGAACAATTTGATCACATGACCATTGCTGGTCAATTTTTTCTTCATCCGATGCGAAGTCTCGGACCGATTTCTAGCATCGTGGCACACAAGGCTTAAGTATATTACACTAGTCTGCGATAAAAATTTGTTTGAATAATTTTATTTGTATTTAATATATTTTTGTCTGTTGAATTCGAATCCGTTTTCCAAATTTATTACGTTACAAATTTGAGAAAAATTTCATGTTAATCTCATGCAAAAGTTAAGTAAACTTTTACCAGTAAAATTTGTTTTTTTTTCCTTTCCATAATTTTATATTTTTTATTTAGTATATATATATATATGATCAGATTATATCATATAAATGCAAAAGCATTTACTTTTCACAAATACTATTTTCCGCAGAATTAAAACGAAATAAAATGTTTTTTTTTATGTTTTAATTACATAAACAAAGGACTTTAAGATCGTCGTTTTAGAAATTTTGATATCATGTTTCTCAAATTGTGATAATAGCCAAATTTACAAAACGAATTCAACATTTAAAAACTATGGCAAACAATTATATTCATTCAACTAGTGATTCTAATGTGTAAATTCTAGTATTATATATTATTATCTACGTTTAATTTTTATAAAGATCGCTCATTCAAACGAAAAATATCATTATTGCGCTGATTATATATATGTTAAAACAACGGTTGTTATTATTATTTTCAGATGTGAATCATGGAGATATTTCTTTTATCGTATTTTATTCAAAAGCACTCCGATGTTTATGCGCGACCGATTGGTACAACGTTTCGTCGTAACACCATCATGGAAGGCCAATGAAAAATGAATTATCGTTATTATCCTACTAAATCAAATTTTTCTTCTTTGTTACATTTAATGCTCTTTTGCATTTCTTTTTTATTCAATAGAAGAATATTATAATTATTCATTTAAGAAATTGTGATTGAGTGTGACATTGCAACATTATAAAATGGAAGACTTATTGTATTATTCCTCTCCTTTTTTCCTCTCTCTTACAATCTTGATTGCAAGTATTTTTTCGAACGAATAATTTATGAAATTGGCTCGAGTGAGACATTTTTATATTATTTTATTCATTGATGTGCAGCTGTCTGTTGGTGTGGCGATTACATTGTTACTTACCCATCCAGCTGTAATAGCAAGTGAAATATTAAAATTTGCGAGAAAGCTATAAATAGTAGCATGAGACAATAGGAATCAGTTGTTTGGAAATACGAGTACATACATGCACACGGGAATAAACACATGAAACACATACATGTATATAATTATACATATGACGTTCGTGAATCGGTCCGCTCGAAAATATCACAATAATTCTTTTTATTTCTATTTAGCTTCTTATAAGATTTTTTTTTCTGTAAAGGAGACTGTTTTTCACTCCGTTGTATTGGCTCCATTATATTAAATAAATATTTGCTATGTAATTACATTAAATATAATTATTCTAATTTGCTAAACGATTAACAATAGGCCGTTACTTTAAATATACGAGGGAAATATTATGAAGCATTGAGATTCTAGAAAGATTACGAAGACTGATAGACAAAAGAGACAGCCGAATAACATTTGTTATTCGGTTTCGAAGAATAATGTAATAATATAATTGTCGATCAAAATAAACTTAAATTTAACGGAATAAAATTTTTGAATTTCTTTGGTCCGAACATATAACACAATTCCTAAAATGGATTTATCAAAAGCAACGATTGCTTTATTTAATTGTTGATAGATTACTCTGATTGTTCAGCGAATTAATTTCATGTTTATGATTGATAATTTCTATAAACTTGCAATGTCATCGGTGCAGGTGTTAGCTCTCGAGTGTCTGGAGTTTTTTTCATTCGAATTAAAACTTATCAGTGTTTAGGGCGGCCAGGTGTTCGATTAGATATTATCGTGCTAATAAATAAGCGATTATTTCACCAATTGAGAATCACATCGATTGCCACTGCTCCAGTGAAAACGCCAACATGAAAGCTTTCGTATTCGGTAAATTTTACTATATGCAATTGTTAATTTCTTTTTCGATTTACATAGTGTTTACTTCGAAGCGCATTTTTTAATTGTTTACACTTTTTATTTACGTTGCAGCCTGCATCCTTGCGATCTGCGTCACAGCGTCCCTGCAGGACACTCCGTACGCTCGGTGTGACAATGGACCTCCACCCAAATCATTGATAATAGATGGATGCAATACTTCTCCCTGCAATTTTTACAGAGGGACTAATTTGACCGCGCATTGGAACTTTAATGTCAGTAAGTAACGTTATATATATATATATATATATATAT